AATGATGAGTCTCTTGCTAATTGTGGACGAATGGCGGCGTTCCCAGCTCAATTCGAAAATAATTGCAACAAAGATATTCAATCCAGTTAGTTGCCTTGGAGAAAAGTTGGAGCTCGGTTCAGTGATAGTCGAACAGATGACATGAATGGATAAGCAATTTGTTCCCCTCTCCTTATGGACACATAAATGTATGTTGTAAGATTTGCATTGGCTACCTCTGTAGGTTACATACATTTGACAAATCTAATGAATACTCTTTGATGGGCATAACGAAGGAATCATTCAATTGAAATAGGATTCATTGGTAATACTAAACAACCTTGGCTCCAGAACTATCATGATACCAAACTTCAACCAAATGGTTTTGAAAACTTTGAAAGGATTTGAGTGGAGATATGATAAATCCTAGATATATAAGCAACCAGAGATTTCTCTGAGGCGTCACATAACTTAATTTACGGATATTTGAGAAACTTTAATTATTCGGTATGAAAGCCTCGCTAAGGTATTTACACACCTACCAAACTAATTAAAGTCGGCCGATTTGTTAATGGATTCAAAATTTTTTTTTTTTAAAACTTGCATAAATATACATGCGTATCTCTCATACGTTCGCCGAAACGGATTTATAGTCCTCGAATGGTATATTATAAGAGCTTTGTGGCGGTTGGTGATAATCGCATGCTACCTTTATGGCGAAGCAAGTAAGTCGGCGAAAGCCTTGATTGCACTTTCTGTACGTCGTAAATATGGTGCAATTAGGGCAAATCTTCGCGCATCCGTGCAGATGACAGGTATTCAAAATCACATATTCTAACAAGATATTTTAACCTATGACGCTAATCTTACGTAAAGCTTATTATCGAAAAACCTTTCACATATAATTACTAGGAATTGAATGCAAAAAGATTGAGAGAGAACTGAAACTAGAATATAAAAAAAAAAAGAAGAAAACTATACTCAACAATATGGTAAAGCCATTATTTAAAGTCTTTGTGTAACGATGTACTCGTGAAAAATGTGTTCCGTAAAGTGATGGCATTTCCATATAGTAACGAAATAATTCTTTATATATGTCAAAAACATCACTATTGACGAATGCATATGATTTTTATATAATACTAACCTAACTCAACGTAACGTGCCAGAATTGCAGGACATTCCGATCAGTAGTTTACATGTCGCAGTAATTTTAGTCACGCTAGAAGAATCTAAATTTTACGGGTAGCGTCATCAATAGTCATCCTATATTTGTATAGCATTCTATATCATGCTATCATTGAGCAATGTGTTATAGGGTCATGTCACTGTCAAATAATTAATCATTAATAAATCGCTACTCCGTGGAGATATATTGCTTTTAAGTTTTACATAACAGTGCAAATTGTCTCGCCACGGAGCATACAATATAATTTTCAGAATCTTTAAATATGTCGAGCTCTACGCCAAGAAGCAAAGAAGAGGAAATAGTAACATTCGAGAGTGTTACTTCTTCGTCTTATTTCGGAGAAAAATGTTGTAAAACTGTGAGATTTGTTCAGAAATGATGACACCGGAAAGTATCGATAGCAATGGGAGAACCATAGCGCAGGTCAGAGAAACAGCAATTGGCGGCAATGCCAAACTCTTACTCTTGGCACCTCCGCTTCAGCAAATTAGCCGAGCCCGGCGTGCTAAGAGCAGTTCATCTCCAATAATGTAATTGAGGAGCTGAGGAACGCTACTAATGAACACTGATGATCCTAGGCGTATAATTAAAAGAAAAAATTTCGACTTTTCGACGACATATTGGAGAGTTAGTCCACGAAAAGCAACCGAAATGAAACTTAACACTGCCACTATTGCTTGCATCACAGTGTCCTACCTTTGATCAACGTTTACTTCCTTCGAATAATTATTATTAAGACGGCACCCAAAAATGGATCCTTTTACGGATACTTTCAAAAATTTAGTTTTGATTGCATGCGAGAACTTTCTCCTATATTTTTAATAAGATGAAAAAGCTAACGTAAAGCTATCGATGGGCAATTCTTTCGGTGAAGTATTCTGTGAAAGTAAGCGTTTTCTTCATTTAAAAAAAAGGCGTCATAACTTATTTTTATATAGCAATTAATTCGATCCGTCTAATAAGACAAAAAAAACTTTTCGCTCTCAGCTGTATTCAGTGAATTCAAGCCATTGTAATAATATGCAACGACTAACAAGATAGCAAAAATAATTGTTTTTTTGTTCAAAATTCGGTTCTAAGTTCATCGCTAATGAGAGCAATTATTATCAGCAGTGTTCACTGTAACAGGTAGGCGTTCTAAATTATTTTACATATAGCGACGAGGGTAGAGGTTTTGCTTTTGTCGTTAAAGTGTTCAAGTGTACATATGCTCTGATTTAAATTAAACTTAAGAGTACATTACACACTCATACGGAATATAATTTATCTTGAACTCGTTTACTATCATTAATAGCATATGTATTTTTTTTTTATTTTTTTTTTATAACAATCAGCAAAAAACTAAAAATGAGAAAACGAAGTAAAAAGAAAAAAATTTTTTTGTAATAGAAGTGAACGCGTACATATATATACACACTACACTATCCGTATTGAATAGTCTCAAGAGATTCGTAAAAATTTGGTAAGAAGTACTTGTTTGCCTTAGTTTGCTTTCACAAAATGTCTACACAAGCTTGTAAACTTATGCAAAATTCACATGGGTTCGTTTGTGCATAGCGAAGCAGGGCAACGGTTATAACGATATATATTAAGAAAAATGAAGAACATTTCAGTTTGTCGGCATAGTTTTGCTGTTTGAGGGATATACACATATATGTAACATAACATTTACGAACCCTCCCAGTAATTGTCAAAAAAAAAGCAAAAAGTCATTTAATAACTTACATCCGCATCATATGTGCATCATGGACACCGGTTTGTTTAAAGAAAAAGAAAAAAAAATCACGCACGCACCATTGTGTTTATTTCTATAAGATTTTTGACGGAAACATCCAGTAGTAGATAATTACCGCGAAATCTCTTATTTACCTATTATATCAAATGTGTACAATTCTTTCAGGTGATATAAGTATATTTTCATTACTCTATGCCAGCTATTGTAACTCATTGCATTTTTGCGCTGGAGGTCACCGAATCTTCATATTTACAATGCTATTAAATACTTGTGTGGCAAAAATTTATTACAACATATTTTTTGCTTGTAAAACTTTCCTTTATTATTATGCACATATTTGTGGCGAGATTAGTTACATAAGTATAAAGTATCTAAAGAATTTATCGTTTATTTCTCGCTTATCGAACGCTACATGATCATGATATATATATATATTTTTTATAAGTGTGCGTAAAATCTCCTAAAAGTGGTAAAATTTAACGTGAAACACACAAGCAACGGTGTTGCGTTGGTTGAATTTGACTTGAATTCAACGCAAAACACATATACAGCTTAGTTTTCTTCTTCACCACATCACGTACTTTGTTAGGTATGAGTATTTTAAAAAGAGATTTACATGAGAAAAATCACGTATACGACCCATTATATCTGTAAATTTTATTTATCATTGAATTGCTGCTTACTTACATTTGATCTCATTTGGTTTTATTATGACTGTCTGTCGTCTTTCCATACATACCGTGCACTAACGTTTCATTTACAAGACAATATTTGATTTTTCACTAAACTTGTACGCGCGATGAAGCCGAATTAATTTAAATTCAATTTCGCTTCCCTGTTTTTCCCTTTTTGTCGATAATAAAATTAAATATCATTTAGTTAGTTTAGTTAGATAAGAGATTTTTTCAAAGAATTTCTTTTGATTTCAAGTTTTACTTAAACTGAATTTATAAAACGTGCACCGATACGTTTCTTAAAGTCACAAAATTGTTGTTTTCTTACGATGAATGATGAGAAATTTTGATTTTGTCATTATGATATTTAATCGAAAGATTGTGTGTGTCTTGACATTTTCGGGCAAGTTTTCCTAATTTCTGTTATGAGAAATTTTTTATTATTTTTTTTCTATCACATGTGGAACTAATTCTTGCCATTTGCGGTAAACAATACTATGAATATTGCCACGTAGCTATAAATACTTAGGTGTTATCGGAAGAAGATGAAAGAGTCCTCCAAAAAAAAAAGAAAAAATTATAATAAAAAAAATTTTTAATCATTAAATTCTCTAACCATTGTTTCACTTAATACAATTCTTCGTTTATTTTTGTGGTAAGAAAACAAAAATTTTATCTTTCTTCCATCTAAAAGCATACTTTTGATCGGAGCCCTTATGTGGGGATGAATCAAAAACATGAACTGACTGAGGGGACTCGTATTCAGCTGGAGAAGTATTTTTCTTCTCGAAGATTTTATAATTCTTAACCCTATCTTCGCCACAAACTAGTCAAATGTAGACTTTACTATGTTTGCAGAATCCTCATTTGGTTTAGGGTGCAGACAACAGAAAGGAAATTAAAATTTTTCCATTATTTCATAATAAACAAAATGTAGCGTGACTAAAATAGTTGTAACTTTCAAACCTTTAGTTGGAATGTCTTCACATTTTAATGCATTTCGCTTGAAAATAGTCAATAGTGAATAGTGGTGATATCTGTAAGTCATCCTATTTACTTATTGAGTCATGTGTTATGTGTTGTCGATAAATTCGCGTCTTTCTTATGTGTAAAGTTTTACCACTTGATTCATTCTTTCATTTGATCTTATCTCAATGCCTTCTAGATCATTAAGCAGAAAATATCATTGAACATTTTCTTGCCTAATACGCTTACTTTCTTCCTTCTTTCCTTCCTTTTTACGCATTTCTTGTAATCACTACTTATTAAAAAAAAGAAAAATTGAAAAAGATAAACAAAATTTGCAAAATTTTTTCAAAATATTTTTTTTTCTTTTAGTTTGATTTTGTTGCTGGGATTTTTATACTCGCTTTGGAATTATTGTAATTGTATTCCCACAAGTAGTTGGCAATTGTTTGAGAATACTACCAATCAATTTTATGAAGAAGACTTTAATGCCACCGTAGACTTAACGAGGTAAATGCTTGCTTGTATTATTAACGCGATTAATTGTTTACAAAAAAAAGTTAATTAACTTGTTTTTTTCTTTTTTGATGCTCAACTTCTATTTAGTACGGAAACGGAAACTAACGAACGCTTGACAGATAGTAGAGAACCAAAAATTAGCAAAGAATTTAAAGCTTCGCGTATTTATCAATCGTTTACTACTACCAGTGCTGGCAAAGAGAGTTTAATAGAGAACTCAACGTCATATTCAGTGCAACGTCAGCAACGGCGGCGAGCTAAGAATGAAACCATTAAAGCTGGTGTTATGCATAAACGTACCGCTTCATCTGAGATGTTAAGTCGTAATATTTCAATAATTTTGGAAAATCTTCTAAAGAGTTACGAGCAATCGCAATTACCGACACATGGTCAAGGTTGGTGTGTATGTAAAGAAATTCATGAAATTATATTAATAATATTATCATCTATTTTTAGGCGTTCCTACCATAGTACGCACCAATATATTAATAAGAAGTATGGGTCCGGTATCTGAGCTAGATATGGAATATTCGATGGATTGTTATTTCCGTCAATATTGGCGAGACAAACGTTTAAGCTTTCAGGGACCAATTAAGAGTCTGTCATTAAGTATTAAGGTTTCCATAGCAAGAATTTGAAAAATTGTTAAGCATATTTTAAAAAAAAAATGTCTTCCCTTTCTATTTTCAGATGTTGGATAAGATATGGCGTCCAGATACGTATTTCTTTAATGGTAAACATTCCCATATCCATACACTTACTGTTCCCAATAAATTGTTGCGTTTAGATCAAGATGGTGGCATATTATATTCGATGAGGTGACTTTTCTTTAAAACAATATCAAGAAGTACGTTTTAAAGTTGAAATTTTTTTTTCTCGAAGATTAACAATTAAAGCCACTTGTCCCATGGAATTGAAAAACTTCCCTATGGATCATCAGTCTTGCCCTTTAATTATAGGCAGTTGTAATGTATTTTTAGTTCTCATTTTAGGCTAGCAATGCTAATAAAGTTTCTCGAAAATTTTAGATGGTTACACTCGAGGTCAATTGGTTTATGAGTGGAAAGGAGCGGACGATGCTGTTTCTTTTGTGCCGGGCATGACTTTAAATCAATTCGATTTGATTAGTATGCGCTCACGCAACTTAACGTATACGAGGAGAGAAGGGGAATTTTCGGTACTTCATGTAGCCTTCAATCTCAAACGACATACTGGATATTTTCTCATACAAGTAAGTTTAAGTTACTTGCACATTCCCCCGTTCCAAACTAACAGTTAATCTTTCGTTTATGTACAGGTATATGTTCCTTGTATACTTATAGTGGTGCTATCTTGGGTCTCGTTTTGGATACATCGCGAGGCGACCAGCGATCGTGTAGGACTTTGCGTAACAGCTGTACTCACCTTATCAACCATTAGTTTGGATTCTCGAACCGATTTGCCGAAAGTAAAATATGCGACCGCTTTGGATTGGTTTCTGCTTATGAGTTTCTTATATTGCATAGCAACACTTTTAGAATTCGCCGGCGTACATTATTTCACTAAAGTGGGCAGTGGTGAGATACCGGCAATGAGCGAAGACGAGTGGGAAGATATAGATGATGAAGCCATAGCTGATATAGAAATTGATCGCATTACGCACGATCACGACTTACCCACTTCGATACATGAAAGTAATGAATCGTTGGCGTCTGAGTATCCTCAATCATTGACGGGCGGTTTCCGCAAACGGAATGTTATGATATGCCCGATATATAATGATCCAACTCATGTGTTTCAAGCGCCTTCTTCACATGCCTCAACCATGGAAAGGACAACCCAAACTGAACCACCAATTATATCGAAAACCAAACAAATGTGGTTGTGTTTCATAGGTGACGATAAATTCCGCAAGCAAAGAGAACGAGATGCCTCTTCACAGAAAGGTACTCATCTCAAATGAATGAATGAAAGCATATAAATATGTCTTTATAAATATATTCAGTTCAATATGTATATATGAATAATTGAATATTTTTATGCAGGAGCCCGTTACATTAACAGTGTGTCGTTAATTGATCGCATAGCTCGTGTTGCATTTCCTATGTCGTTCGCTCTTTTCAACTTGTTATACTGGCTGGCCTATACTATGTTCAAAACGGATTTCTCATGGACTTCGGTGAAAGGCTAAGCGTGCCGCATTAAGCGTAAGCCTGGTTCTACGCAGGGTACATATCAAAACACATAAATTCATTTAAAAAAAAATAATATAATGTTAAGGCGCTTTAATCACACACACAAAAAGTACTTTCATTCGGCCAATTCATTATTTGTTAATTAATTTTAAGAAAAATGACAAAATAAAAAATAACAAAAACAAATATAATTGTAATCTGTTTAATTAGTTAATTTTATGCAAATTCTACTTTTAGAATTATACGTAAGGTAAAAAACGTTGTACCGCTCTGTTTACAAAGCACCCTTCACAGAGTTCGCTAATATATATATATATATATATATATATTTGTAAGGTTGTGTTCATTTTAATTACATTAAACTATTCGCTATTGCCTTGAAATAGCAGGAGAGCGAAAAAATGCAAATAAAAATTGATAATAATAGACAAGTTAATCAGTTAACTGCGTCGACTTATTTAGCGATGTACTCGTACACTCGTATGTGTAATATTTTTTGTAATTACATTGTTACAGTATATACATATTCATAATCATCAGATTTTATGAGAGAATTCGACAAGGACGGATGGACATACCATGACGTATATATACGTCGTACGACGTTAACACATTAAAATCGAAATTGAATGAAATATTAAAGATTTAATTGGAGATTCTTTCATTAACTCTTTAATGGAAAGCCTAGTTACACGTTCAACACCACCCAACCACGATAAGCCGATTTGACGCTTCGCCGCATTGTTTCCTTTGATGCTCAATATCTTCGGTACTGTGCACTCGTAAATAGTAGACCTTACTCGTTTCTTTGTTATCATACTGTTTACCATCGAGTCATTTTTTCAACTGCTAGACGCTCCTCTTTAGAAAACACTCAAATGGTTAAGTGAGAAACGTTCGTCTTTTGTTTACGACTCGGCCTAAACCCTTTTATCCGTAAAGCAAAAACTTGGTCTCACAACTACATAGAATTACTCCAATTACCTTTCTACTGTGGACTCTATAGAAAGGATGGCCACCAATATTCCTTAGAGCTTCTCCTTGACTTAACGAAGATTTATCGCAAATAGCAAACAAGATCGCAAGCCAATAGTATGCATTCATACGTCCACCTCATGGGTACGTATACTTCAGCATATGGTTGGCAGTTCTACTCCTCATGTTTCCTAAAATCTTATTGACATAGAAAGTTTAAAGAAATTACAAAAAATCCAAACATAGTGTAGTCTGCTAAATATATCTCATTTTATCTCATTTTCATCATTATATGCAGTGGAAAATTACGGTCTACATAATGTAGAATTTTAAGATCATTGGGAATGAGGATTCGAAACCCAGTCGTATTCTACACTATTTTTAAATTACATAAACCACACACCATCATAACTCTTTACAATCGTACATAGTTGTTTTAAATAACTCGCGTGCCATGACGATACACAACAAACGACTTGGTAGCTCTCACGTGTCCATTCCAAATATTATTATTATAATTTTTCACAAAAAGCTTAGCTTTGAACTTGGCTACAGTGAAACCTGTCATATAATGATGACCAATTTTTCGCACCTTTACACAATCATTGAGAACATTCGCTATTTACGATTGTCAAAGTAATGCGAAGCATCTCAACGTTATCGAATTTGAAACCGAAGTCATTTGGTATCTTGGTTTCGAGCATCAAACGCCATCTATCCATTAAGGCTGATACTTGTCCAGGAATACTATTGTATAATATGCAAAAAATCATAGCTTGGAGCAGATCCATCTGAGTAGCCGAGAAGTTAAGATTAATGACAACCAAAATAGTTCGCTGGTTGGAATCTCAGTGCGATAGAGTTCACTTTGGTCGCAGCTACGGCGGACGTAACACTAATCGATTGGGCACACACCCATTAGACTGCGGCCACCACCTCTCTATTTCTTGCTCTTTTTTCACTTCCTTTCTACCATCACCGTGTTGCGCGAATAGAAAACATTCAATGCGTGATTGATCCCACAAAAAAAAAAAAAAAGTTTCACATATCATTCCACTACTTTTTGTATAGTGAACTAGGGTTGCACTTGTTGCACTTTTTATGTGTATGTATATATGCAGAATAGGGAGTGCTCTAAGTTTTGCCTTCGGACGATAATACCAAAAATTTTTAATAAAAGTTCATATAAATATACGTATAAATTGGCCATGCCCTCACAAAGCTAATTAAAAGGTAATTAAATTTTCTTTTTTTTATTCTTTTGAGGTTTTGTGTTTATTATTCGTAAGGTAACGAGGCCAGAATGTTTAAAATTATTCAGTACATTTCGCAAATGAAGATATACTCTCTGCTTAAAAGTGAGTTAATTCTGAAATCAATATGGTGGACGCGAGGACGGTGTACATTAACATTTCCTTAATCATATAATTTGTACATTGACGCGTTTTGAAGCAAGAATGAAGCCTATTGAAAATGGTTCGGTTCGGTTCATATGCTCGACCATGCCCTGTATAGCGTCTTATTTTGAAAAAAAACGATATTTTCAAAGTTTTCCGACAAGAATCGCTGAACAATAGTATTTCGATATTCTCAATTGGTATGGAAAATTTGGTTCGGCTAGAGCAATTTTTTAAACATCCCCTCACATAACCTTACGCTACGGAAAATAACTCTTTATACAGCAAAGACGTATAACTTTTAATGCTTTATAATGATAAATGCTTAATAATAATAAGTTGACAAAGAGATCAACTTATCGAATTTTGCCTTTTGGAGGAATTTGATTTTTTGTATACCATCGCATATAAAGATTCTCAGGGAATGCCAAAATATATTCTAATTGTTAATGTATTTGTGGTGAAAATTGGCTCATGATAGTATCATTAACAAGACGTAAACAAATGCGTCAAAATGCGTCAAATTTGACGCATATTGATTTATTTCTAGAACCACACTTCAAAAAGGATTTCTCATGACTAGTAAACCCTTCAGAAAAAGGTTTAATTATTAATAGTCTTCTATGAAGGAAAAGAAATTGTAGTGTAATAAGATTTTTGGGAAGTAAATTAAGCTTGTTATGATGTTTTAGATATCTTACAATTTGTGGGCTTTTGAGAAAAACTACTATAATGTGCAAAAATGTATTATAACCAAAACGAGCGAATTGACGATTATTTAGTGGTCAGCCTTGCCCGGCTCTAATGTTTTTACTTGTTTATAACGATAAATATAAGCATGAAGAGTTAAAGATTGAAATTTCTTACTTGTTGAAATTAAGGCTAAAAAGGGAAGAGCCAGTTAGCGATAGAAATATCCACCAAATCAAGTCTCATCATCGACATTAACGGCATCATGTCGACGACATTATATCGCGTAAATACATAATAGTAATTGTTCTCGACATACAAATGCGTTTCAGCGTGTACCGAAAATGGTACACGTAATAGGACAACGTGTTAAGAAATACTGCTAAGGAAGCAAAGCTTTTTTCACATTTATTTCTTAACTGACGCTATTCGCTTCTAGGTGTCCTTGCTGACATACAAAAACCAAGTCTCTCCCTCTCTCTCAATCTCTTTGCCTCATTCCAATTGCATTCTCTCCTTGGTCCTTTCGCTTTTAAGTAAATAATCAACATCGATACATTTCATGTAGCATTTCAAAAATAATCGGACAACGTTGATGTTGAGGGAATCTATTTACTTAGGTAATCATTTAATTTACGACATTTATCAATGTTTAGGCGAATGATAGCTTTATTTAGTTTATAAGCGAATTAAAAAAGTTTAACCATATATTGTCGAATTTGTAACGTGTGACAATTTACGAAAGACTGAGTTTTTCACGATTTATTAAAGCAAAAGCCGAATTGAACTGATGATGTTCATCGGTAAATGATCAAATTGATCGCATTTATCGGTCTATCATCATTCTTTTAAAGTTAAAGCGCGTAAAATAGAATTCATGATTTTTTTTTTTTTTCTAAGCCTAACGTAGAACGTTCCTCAGCGTCACGTCAATTTGAGGAAGAATCTAAAGCTTTCAAATTTCGGTCTCTTCGTTTAAAGTAAAGAGGTATTATTTAGGACTGATGATGTCTGAAGTGTACGTACATTCGAATTGATCAAGTTTATCAAGAGTTTTTCTTTTAATTTTTTTTTTTTTTTTTTTTTGGTATATACTTGATCCTAGCCAGCCACTCTGTGAACAGGATGATACAAGAGAAGGGATAAAAGCGGTGATATTTTTGTATTCTCGATACGACAGTACAAGCTATCTTGAGAGAGCGGGAATATCAAGTAGTTGACTTTTTGGATTTCATTAACGCATATTTGAACTGACGAACCGTATCAGTGTGCATGGTCAAGGGTTAAGTCAAATCGATGACGTTGCCCAATATATGGTTGAATAAAAAGCATAATTGATAAGGTTTATCAATGTCTCGTCATAGACACGTACGTTCGACGACTATACCAGGTATGCTTTCAAAGTCGAAACAAAACGTATAAAAGGTTTAGTTTCTGCGCAGTAGCGTCTGCAAAAAACATCTCTAATGTGCCGTGAAAAGTTCAAAATAGCTTTCATTTCATTTTTTTTTTTTTTTTTTTTTTTTTTTTTCAAAATATTTATAATAAAATTTCAATTAGAAATATTCGTTTAACAATTTTTTTGCATACACTTATTAATTAAATAAATTGCCTAAATATATTATTTTGCTTAATAAATGAAAACATCATAAGTCACATAATGTCACAAAGTGCGAAAAAAGCGGTAGAAATTTTGTGTTTTATTTTACTTTGATAGGACAGAGTTTGTTTATTATTCGCATATAATGTGTGCTCTGCGGCGTATAGTGAATGTATATAGACAGTGTATGCATACATAGATGTAAGTTATTATTATATGAAAAAAGAAATACTTTAAGATGAAATGGAAATTTTTAAGCTCTCTGTTGGTTAGAAACGGTTGATTGTTGTTGAGCATGCTGGACCATTAGATACGATATATAGTCGGTTACGGAAGAAACAAAAACGCATTAGAAAATATGAACGGAATGCAGTACATCAAGGGAAAGGCATAGAGAGGATAATGATAACAATAATAATAATAATAATAATAATAGAGAAAAAATAAAATAAATAAATATACATAAGTAAATAAATAAATAATAAATCAAAGTGAAAGTGATAACAAGTAATAAAACAGAGAGCATTTCAATAAATAAAATATGATTAAATAGCAATAAATTAGAAATTAATTTAAATTAAATTTAATTAAATTAAATTATATTAAATTAATTTAACGACAACATGTGAGAGAAGAAGATTTACATAATCCAATGAAATGAAAACGAGAAATTTTTTTTAATAGAAGACGAGACTTGAAACGATTTACTCAACACATACGTGATTATTATTTTATGTTTCTGTGGGTGATTGTGCTCTTCTATACATTTTCATTAGAAAGAGTGTACGGCGTTGTGGTGTTGTCGCAACCGTGACGGTGATGGTGGTGGATAGTAAGGATGGCTACGACTATGGTGATGTGGTATGTAATCCCTTAATCCTGTGCAAATTCGCCGTAGCAAGAAGATTGAACTAGAAAGCAGAGCGATAATCCTGCATATTCAAATATATATTACGAGGTTATCTCCGTTAAGCCAAATTGCATGAAATTTGCATTTGAAGTGTTATATCAAACACCTTACTCACATGCACATGCACATGCACATGTACATGCACATGCCCATGTACATGTATATGTGCACACAACACAAAAATAAGTAAACACAATAACACACACATACACGGTACATAAATATTAAAAAATTTGTTGCTATCTTTTTTGCCAATACTCATGAAAAGTGCACACGGTTATGAAGACAGACGCAGCACGAGTCACGATTAAAAGGCACAAAAATGTAAAGAATATTAAAAAAAAATTATTTTTTTTTTTTTATCTTATACTTCTTAGGATGCCTTGAAATTAAAGGCAATGCAAAGAAGAACAAGGAATTTAGCAATATATACATATATATAGAGAGAGAGAGAGAGAGAGAATGGCAGAAAGAGAGGGAAAGACAGACAGAGCAGAACGTAATGGCAATACCAAAACAAAAAAACTTATTGAATTTTATCATTTTTATCCTTCAAGTGCAATACGAAGAGTCAAACGTCATAATGTCTTTAAAGAGCATGAATGTGTTAGTTAGTAAAAGAATGATTTTGTTGCTCTTCTTATGTTCGTATTTGTACACGTTACACATATGCGTTCGCACTCTTATATATATGTAATATATGTTCATTTCTATATATTCAAGTGTAATATTGTCTCGTGTGTTGAACGAAAAAAAAAAAATAAATAAATAAAAAATAAAATAAAGAGAAATAATAAAAGAAAGAAAAATAGGTCAAACCTATAATGATCGGTGTCGTTGCTAGTGTTACTGCCATTACTTGTAAAAAAGGCACTTGCACGTCTATATGTGTGCGTATATGCGAGTGCATATGAAATGCATCTTGGCGCTGCCGTTGTCGTTTTTGTTATTTTTATTGTTACGTTAATGATGAAGATGATTATAATGATGATGTGTGTTATTGAAGCTTAAGTTTGTTTGTGAGAGTGTTGCTGATACAGCAGCTTCTCATATGACATTTACCGCGAACAATTTTGTGCACTTTTATTTTCATTATATATAGACATATGTAGATTTTGTAAAGCGATTTTTTTTCTCCTTTTTTTTTTTTTTTATCAATCACTTAAAGTTAGTCAGTGGTGTAAGCAAAACTGATGAACTAATTTTTGAAGAGTCCGCAACTTCTTCTCTTATTATTACGCGCACATTTCGGCAGATGCGTATGTGATGCGTATCGTCAAACGTGAAATTGTTCGTTCGATTACCTTGGCTGGAATTTGGTTTACTATCAATAATACTGTTTTCCTTATTCACTCTTTATTTACACTATTAGTGCTTATCTCATTTTTGTCCAAGAATTTATTGCTTTGGGTTAAATAAATGAGATGATAATGGGCGAGGAGGGTGTGCATCTATAGCCCTCGATACCCTTGACAGATGTACTTAGGCCAAGTGTTCCACATAGATCAAAGACATTGGCCTACCAATCAAATCTTTAAATAGAATTAGTCGCTTACCTTCGCTGGAGGCGTCCACGTGCAACGTGAGACACTAATCATTCTTTAATGGCACTGCCCGCCTTTCGAGCACCTTACCGTCCCCTCTTGTAAGTCCATAATAGTCCAAAAAAAAAAAATATATATATATATATATATAACTTTGTAATCATATGAGAGATTGTTTGTACACTTTATGTAAAATATTCAGAATGATCGTCTACAAGTTCATTGAAGAGCTGAACGTAACCAGCGCCTACAAATAAACCGACAAAACGAAACGCATAAGAAACAAAAATATAAATCAAAATTACAATCTAGAGGAGAAATAAACCTAATACAAATATCTCGTGGAGCCAGATGAAGAAGCAAATTTAAAAATGGTACCACTAGTGCGACGAACTCACCTCCCGATTGCGTAAAATTATAACGCAATTATAATGCCTTCACTGATTTGTGATGATAGGCATGCAAGATTCATTTAAAAATGAAATCAATTTTCTTACTTGTTACTTCTTCTTGATCATTTTGCACAGAGATGGATGTAAAACTAAAAGATTTTAGTTCTTTAGCCGCGACATATACTTGTAAATTAATCATTAATTTGTTAAACGTTCAAATATCAAATTGTTACCGTTAACAGCTGCGTTGCGAAGGTGCCGACGAGTGGACGCCATCTCCAAGCCGCGCGTACAGCTTCAATAACTTTGAAGCAATAGCTTTCTTGTATTGTTATGTGATAATATAGTATTATAAATGCTTTCAATGTCTAGTGCCGTTAACGGTACCCATCTCAAAGAGAAATATATATAAATATCGTTATATAGCATAACGTAGCGATAACCAATAACTTAATAACTTATCTGAAAAATTTAAACCTTACGTATAAATGCAAGGGCACGTGACAGAAACTGTGCTCGATTTCTAACTAGCTATGTGTGTTTAACTCTATATTATGTAAAGCTATTTGTTTGAGTTTTCAAACTTATAGAAAGTTCATATTCAAAGTGTTAGAGGGAGAGAATAGAATCCTGTGCACATGTTGTTAACTCAATTCTATGGAGAGAACGCGAATCCATCCTCTTAAGAATAGCTAAGCATATCAAAACTACCTAATATTGATTGAGAAGTGATCTTGATTGACCGATATTTAATATATCTATCAAGGCGACAATTTTGTACATCATATTAGTAACGGCTAACAGAGTTCATCGGTCATCCATCAAATACATCCACATGGTCCATATTAAGCACAGCAAATTTATATACCAAATCGCTATTACGGGCCCACTTTTATCATAAAACACATATTGCAAATTACACGTTGATCCATCCCATGCGAGAATTTATTCTTTGTGGAAACGCTTATAGGCGAAGGGGTTCTAAAAATGACTGCAATCATGAAAAATGGGCAAAATATTATTTCTCATCGACTCTTTTCGAGATGTATTAGAAATGGTAAGCTTTTGTGCCTCGCATCACCTGAGATGCACTTTACAATTACTTTCGGCGAAGATATGCCCAGAATCATTTAATTTAAAGGCAGCTTTTGTTACATGACTTGATTCAGAATTGATTTAATGCGCTTTGCTATTCAACATATAGACCGTAAGTCTGCCCGCGTCTTCTTAAAACTTTATACACTGACCTGTTTCGACTCAACGGAGATTCTCGTAAAGATCTTGCCAAATGTGAATCTCCGTTTCGGCAACAAAGCGCATTGTTTAGCGTTTTCTACCAAAAACTGATTCAGCAACTGATTCGGATATAGAAAGCTTACAAGTAAATTTGCTTTGCCAAATTTGGATCAGATTGTCTGTCAGTCTGTCCTCTCTGGACTACCTTCTGGTGTACACGAGTTGGCATCGAAAGTTGAATAAAATTTAATTTTTAACATGATAGCAATGGTCTCTACGGGTTTCATTTTGCTCGTCTATTACATATGAGTTTTTTTTTTTTTTTTGTGCACAAAATATGATTAAAAAAAATTTATGTAATTTATTATAACCAGGATCACGTTTTGTTGCGGAATTAAAAGTTGCTTCGTTTGATTTATTATCCAAACTTGGTAGTAAGCATATCGTTGTAATTAAGTGAAATGAAGGTTAAATTAAATCGCATGCCATACATACGACAGGTATATGAAACCAAAAACACATAAGCAAAAAATTGAATAAAATCATATAACTCTTAGACCGAATTTTTGAATATACTATAAGATGATGGGAGAGAGACCAGTTTCCCGCAAATGGATAAGCAATGTGTACAAGGTGTGTCCTTAGATATTAAAACAAAGATCGTAAGGCAAATAAAATATAATTAATGTGCGATTAATGTATGGTATAATACTTTTACATAATTTCTTCATAAGTGTTGAAGCCTTGTTGGTATTAGCTTGCGACTAACTGTACGAAAGGAAGGATGGTGGATATAAAAGCCTCGTATTATTTGTTGCGCCGCTAACTATTTTTTTTTTTTTTTTTTTTTTAAGCCTAATCGTGCCACATGTGACCCCCCCTCACTTGTCAGAATCATGCAAATAATGAAAATGTTATTACGTTATCACAACAAGCTATCTATTAGGTGTGCAAATAAGTTCTGGCACTTCAAATTGGTTGCTTGATAAAGCTTCTGCGATTTTGAGTATACGTAATTTGGACATTGGTTTTTTTACCAGGATTAAAGGTTATAATGATGCAGGCATTTTGGCGTCTGCATGTTTCTTTTTGTCCTTCTCTCTTCCAATTTTCTTCTTCTTAATTCCCATTCACATATTTTTCTCAAACCGTATGCAAGACCAAGAGATCGCATTAAGTATACACACACACACTCTTGACCTGCAGAAAATTCTGAACTCGTGTAAACATGTCAATCTGTTCATCTGTCTGTCTGTCTGTCTGTGTATGTAATATTTGTGGGGATAGTTAGCATTCTCTTCGTTGCAAAAATGAAGCAAACGTCTTAAAATGTGGCGTACAGATAGGAAGTTCTTGATCATACAAAGACACAGTACACATCAGTATCAAGCGGTAATGGATAGCATAGGATATTTCTATTTCACTTCATAGATTACTTTACACTCGACTGATAGCAATTGTAGCTGACAGATATTTTAATAAATATGGATAAATAATCCTCACTGTGCAAAAATTACGTACAAAAATTAGCAAAAACCTAATCGTTTATTGAGACATCACGAATCCCTCATCACCAAAACCACTCGCGTATCTCATCTTCCGTATAGGCTTAAGGCAAAAAAAAAAAGAAAAAAACTAAAAAAAGCATCTCGAGCGTAGTTCATCTGCACGGATAATATAGGTAAACTACTGCAAGCTTCGTTGATTCAAAATCTAATTCCTTTCATCAGCAGGAGAGGAACTTTAGATATAGACCCAACTTTTTCAAAAAAAAAACAAAAAGACGTCACAACAGATGACCGATCCCGCCAGGAGTCGAACCTGGAATCTTCTGATCCGTAGTCAGACGCGTTATCCATTGCGCCACGGGACCTTCATATAAACTTCAGAATGATTACTTTATTTATACATTTTTCAAAAATGACTGCATAAATAAATACACAATAACTGTACCGTCCTATATCAATCGCAACAGATGAGTGGCTTCCGATTTTTGCACATATTATGCTTAATGCTTATGGACTAGGCCACCCTAAAACAAGAATGCATTATAGACGGATTCGTATAATACGAAGAAAAAATCGTGAATGTGTTCAGGCTCCTATAGCACGGCAAAAGAATGCAACAAAGGTTATTGCGTTTAATTTCCAACAATTAATGCAACGATTAAGTCGATAAAAGAAAATATTCATTTCTTGGGATAAAAAAAAAAAAAAAAATATCTATTGTTCAATGGCCATAAACATTTTGTTTTTATCACCGAAACGACTCGTACAAGCCGGATCCATATAACACAAAAGGGGTCTATCGTGCTATGGCAGTTTGCTATATGCCTACATTTATAGAAAAATCGCTTTGTGGAGGTGAAAGGCAATAAACATAATTTGGTGACATACGCTAACGCACCTTAGGTCGCATGTAGTTCTGTTCCGCGCATAAGGATCTTATTTTTCTCTAAAGCCGCTCGTAGGAGTTGAGATCCAAATAATAGATCTACTTGGTCCAAATTCGTTAAGAATAATGTATATGTCTAATTATTGTTATGAACTCAATCTCATCAGGTATTGAAAGTTAGGCCTTTTTACACCCATCACCGAACGATGAGCGATGTATTCAGAAGGAAGGAAGCATCAGAGACCCCACAAGGTACATATATATATATATATATATATATATGTATATATATAAATTTTTGATCAACGTCAAATCCTAAATCTATTTAAGAATGTCCGTCTGTCCGTCTGCTCTTCTATCTGTGTAAAGTCGACAACGGGCCAAAACACGCCAGCGTACCAAATGTTATCCAAATATCTAAAAAATTTGCGATCGATACGACAGATGGATGGACAAGCTTGAAATCATTTTCTGAATAAAAGACAGGTTCATTTCAAATGCCTGTAGGGTTGCAACCATGATGTAGGGTAAAAAATTTTCAAAATGTTGGAAATAATTGAACCAGCCCTCCTTTTTTTTATATATATACTAATTTCATCAATTACTCAGAAGGTAACCCCTATTATGAGTCACTCGGGAATAGTCAAAAAGAGATGGGGAAAGGGTCCATTTTGTACCGCTGTCAATATAACTTTGAAAGAAGTAAATAACCCTCGCTCTTGAACTGCACTTACTGGCAAAGCTAGTAGCAAGAAACTATTTATCTTATGCGGGCCCGCAATTATAAATACATTGACACTGTGGGAGGATGCTGTCTTCCGGCCCAAAGAAAGATTCTTCACACTCCAAAAATTGCGAGCTACAGGTTAAACGCAAGAAAACAATTCATACATGCCTACAAACAATCTGAGATCGATTCCGAAAGTGATGCAGAATCGAACTGTGGGTCTATTGCAAGTTCTTCCAACTGGTTTACGCATCTGCGTAAACTTAATGTACCCGCGTAGAACAAATGACGGAGGATATGATAAATGATTTAGGTTTTCTTTTTTTTGTTTTTTCTTTTCTACTATAAATTTTGATATATCCGCAGTATAAACTTCTCTGCGCTCATCATAAAAGGCTTTTCAACAAATCGCACGTAACTTATATTACGAATTTATTGTGTGCAGGCTTTCTTCTTTTTAACGTTTTGAAATTGAAAGAAATACAATTTACATATTTCTTACCATTTTATGGGCGAGCAAAAGCACAGCACGCAAGCTTGTATTTGTGTTGATTTAAAAGAAAAAAAAAAAGAAAAAATGGCGCCTAAAATTATTTTGTCGTTTCCGTTTACGATATATGTGCATATGTGTGCCGATACAATGTATGCTTAGCTGAGATAATTGTCACAACTAAGTGCATACTTATGCACTCACATTTACATAGATTACGTACATTGTGTTATTTTTGTGGTTGCTAACAATAAAACGATTAAATACTCGAATGAAGGTTTAAAAATATTTTAAATTAAATTCTCAAGTGCATTTAGACACACACACACACACAATTAAAAACCCAAACACAATGATAAGAAATACTTTTTGAATGAACATGTAAAATAAAAATATTTCACAATAATTATCGTATTTAATTGTTATAATTATGTGAATGTAATTTTATTTTTTATATTTCTTCCGAAAAAAAAAAAAAAAAAAAAAAAAAACATGAAAACTCTATCCCGGCCGTTAATACCGAAGATGATACGGATGAATGAGAATGTTTCGTCTGTGGCTTAAGTTGAGGTTAACTTGCAGATTTTAAAGCCGTTATACCTTGTAACTATAAAGCATATCGAACAACATGATTAAAATTATTGGTTATTTAACCATAGCCTACAGTTTAATATTTACATTAATATTCCATCATATACCACCAGTAAGGTAAACTTTTCAATGTTTATTTATTAATAGAAAAAAAAGAGTTTTTTAAACTTTTTCTTCTTTTTCTTCGTTCTTATTTTCACTTTTTCTCTTTCCTTATAACAGATGTAAACGAAAAGAAATGAAAGCAGGTCGCTTGGAAAATGTTACACAAACAATTTCAAAGATATTACAAGGATACGATATACGATTAAGACCAAATTTCGGAGGCAAGTTTTTCTTAATTGCGAAGAGTTTTCAAAAACCTTAAGAGGATTTCATATCTTTGTTTTTACTTATTTTAAGGAGACCCTTTGCATGTTGGTATGGATTTAACCATAGCCAGCTTTGATGCTATATCTGAAGTAAATATGGTAAGCGCAGCATTTGTACAAAAAGAAAAAAAAAAAAACATAAATTTATATTCGGTTGCGATCGAGTCTTTTATACCCACCCATCACCGTTATCCTATAAAAGATTGAAAAAAAGGAAAAATTTGCATAACATTGGGTGGGCGTGGCTGATTTTTGCTATCTTTGTAGAATAGTTTCACAGAAATTTAGATCGTGTATTTATTACAATTTATGAGCAACGAGCAAAAAACACGGGAAATGAATATGTTCACGTGCGCCAGTTGAACGCGCTTCCTTTGACCGACTTGAGTAGAAAATTCAAATTCTTTTGCAAATCTGTAGGCGATGTTTTCATTTTTGCGCCACATACTACCCAACCGCGTAGATGAGCAGACCAACGGGCAAACATGCTTAACTGCATTCCGAATCTGCGACTGGCCAAAAATTTAAAAACTTTGGGAGGTTTTACAGCTTGGTTCTGCGTGTTACAAGGGCACTGTAAAAATATTAAATTTTGGTACAAAATAATATTGGGCGAGCGTGGCTAATTTTTTCCATTTTTATACAGATACTATAGGATCTGCCATATAACAAACATCCAAATTTTTATAGATTTATCCGCTTTAGTTTATGAGTGATGAGACAAAAAATCAATTTATCGTTCCCTATCGAAAGCAAAAGTGTTCGCAGCTTATGTGGTAGTGCAGGCGAGTCCTTTAGTTGATATGGCCCATTTTCAATACCGATGTACATGCGTGAATGTTTTTGCCGACAGCTTCATTTTTCAAATGGAGAGACGGACATGGTTAAATCGATTCGGTTTTGACGAAATGAATACACCACTATTACCCTTCGGTATTGGGTATAATCAATAAAAAAACGTTTACTAGTCATTATTGCAATTATTTCTTACAAGGCAATCAAAGACGTTTTCAAATTTGACAGCAAAACGTTAATGAGTCTTAACGAGTTCTTTTAAAAAGGTTATAGAAAATTTTTTTCAGAAGCACAGTTGAACTGAAAGAGCTTTTCTCGAATCCATCCCTTATTTGACGAAAGGACATTTCTTAAATCAAATATATCGGAAAATTATACTCGGCCGATCCGACCAAATCTTTTATACCCACCACTGTTATCTTACCTATATCTACTCGACAGGTCCTTTTATTTGATGTCCATATCGACGGAATTATGAAGAAACACTTAATCTACCGCGTCGTGATGTCCGCCATATATAGTTTAGAATTCACCCGCTAAGATTATCGCATTCTGCGCTCCAAGTCCTTTTATTTAATAAACAGTTGTTTACACCGATTATAAGGAGAACGCGGAATCCTCCACTTCGTGAAGTCCATCATATTGATTTCAGAATGAACTTATTTTTAGATGGATAATTCATGCCCATTTGTCTGGTTGCGCAAGCTAATCTTATAATGCAATTATTGGAGTCATGTGTCACGATTTCAGCTTTAGTTTTTATAAATTTTTATAAATCTTATGTATTATGAGCAATGTGGGGCATCGAGAATTCGCTTATAACGTTCGTTTATATTTTCATGTATGTGTTATTGTGTGCCTTCTAGGATTATACCATTACTATGTATTTAAATCAGTATTGGCGTGACGAACGTTTGGCTTTTAATGCTTTCGGTCCGTATTACGATGACGACGCGGATGATGATGGCGTTAATGATGTCCTAACATTGTCGGGAGATTTTGCTGAAAAGATATGGGTACCGGATACATTTTTTGCCAACGATAAAAACAGGTAAGAAAATAGTAAAAGAGAAATTCATAGCATATATTATTAGATTTATTCGCTAATTCGGATAGTTTCCTGCATGATGTTACCGAACGTAATAAATTGGTGCGATTAGGTGGTGATGGCTCGGTTACGTATGGTATGCGTTTCACTACTACTTTAGCCTGCATGATGGATTTGCATTACTATCCATTGGATTCACAAAATTGCACAGTGGAAATTGAAAGTTGTAAGTAATTTTGCTCAAGTTAAACGCATCGCTTATCCAATCAAAAAAAATTCAAATATCTCTCAAGATGGCTACACAGTAAGCGATGTGGTAATGTATTGGAAGCCCACACCTGTGCGCGGTGTAGAAGATGCCAAATTGCCGCAATTCACTATTATCGGCTATGAGACTAACGATCGTAAAGAACGTTTAGCTACGGGTGTCTATCAACGTTTATCGTTATCATTCAAATTGCAACGAAACATTGGCTATTTTGTGTTTCAAACATATCTGCCCAGTATTTTGATTGTAATGCTATCTTGGGTATCCTTCTGGATTAATCATGAGGCCACTAGTGCACGGGTAGCATTGGGTATGTTCTCTAACCATTTTTTTTTTTTTTTTGCCCACTTTCATAATAAATGGAATTCTAACTAAAGGATACGTGTTTATTGTAAAGGTATCACAACTGTTCTCACAATGACCACCATAAGCACTGGAGTCCGTAGTTCCTTGCCAAGGATATCGTATGTGAAAGCTATCGATATATATTTGGTAATGTGTTTTGTGTTCGTTTTTGCCGCACTTTTGGAGTACGCGGCCGTCAATTATACATATTGGGGAAAACGAGCTAAAAAGAAAGTGAAAAAAGGTAAAGACAATGAACCAAAAAAAACGGGTAAGACTTCGCATAACATTTTAATTGTTCTTATGCTCTTATTAATGGCCGATTTTAGGGAAAGCCGATAAATCCGAAACGTGTTCAGCAACCGAAGATATAATAGAATTGCAGGATGTACGCATGAGTCCTATACCATCACTGCGTAAGGGCAATTACAATAGTACACTAGGTTCGCTGGGAGCCGATTCTTTGGATTTAGCCAAATTCCCACCCAGCTTTCGAATTGCGCGCAACTACGGCACCACCAGCAATCGTTCAAATCTACGTTACCGGGGACAAAGAGGTAATTGGTGTTTCTCTCTCGCTCTCTCTCTCTCTCTCTCTCTCTCTCTCTCTCTCTCTCTCTCTCTC